CCTGTGTTCATAGGTGGGGAAATCCTCTACCAGTGGACAATTCAGCAGTCCCCTCCAGGCTGATGAAGCCTGGAGAGACACACCTATTTCCCAAATCCTAGGAGGGCTCCATTTTGCCAAAAACCACATGAGGCAGGGGGATACAGCAAGTGGTGCTTGAGGAGTGCAGTTTAATCCGGCATGTGACAGTTCTCTCTGACTGAATGGCAGAGACACCAAGAGCTAAGCATGAGCTGCAGATGAGGAGGAAAACTGGAGCTGTGCCATTTCATAACAGTGAGGTAGCTGATTACAAACCCAAAGCTGAGGGGCTCAAGGCTGCAGGCAGCAGACCACTGCTGCCTGTTTGCTTGTAACCAAACATGAGGAATCACGTACCCAAAAGCAGTTGCTTAAGGGACACAAGACTAACAGATTGAGCTTTGGCATGACCACTATATTATACCTTTTATATTCCAAACCCAACCACCCCCCTGCACACACATTTCAGAGGAAAATCCTGTGCATATGGGCACAGCTGAGCATCACCAGTACAAATACAGGATTGTTTTAGCTTCATACAGTCAGACAGAATCTCTGCAGAGCTCTAAGGCAGCACGGGCTGGGTTCTGCAAGGTGCTGCTTTCTAGGCTACAAACTTGTTTAAGCATGAGGAGGGCTGCTAAGCTCAAGAAACAGCAGAAATGGTAGGAGTTAAGTGGTTGCAGTCCCTTTGCATTGGCAGGCTGCTTTCAGAGCATCACGAAGCACTCACTAGTCCTCTCTGGCCTTGTTGACTTTGCCCACTCCCAATACTTGGGAAGCAAAGCTCCACTTTCTCAGTCAGCGGCACTCAAGAGCTGTGAAGTGAACTGTTTTTTATAGGTTTCAAGAAATTTAGTTCACATAATAAAGGCTGAGGAAACAACTGAAAATTAAATACTAATGAGAAGTGCTAATTATCTCCAGTTCTGGATTAATGTTCTCATATGTTTAAGCTACAGGTCTCTGAATAATTCCACCAAAAATTTTGAGTTGTGAGAATTCATTAATTATAAATGTTAATCAGCTCAAAGTCAAAACCACATAAACAGTTTGCCATGGTATAAATTGCATCTGATATAGAAATGCATCTCCAAGAATCTACTTTCTCCTCTTTCCTTCCAAAGTAGAGACTGCAGTCAGCTAGCAAGTTAAACGATTTCTGCTGTCACAGAAAATATGAGAAAATATGGATTTTGTGACATTAGATAACTAAGAGCCCTAAACACTGTGTAGACACATCAGGTATGTTCACACAGAGAAACATTACGCTAACCAGCCCACAGCTCCCTTTGTTTGGACACAAGAGACCTTCCAGTATGTTGAATTACAAGGAGCTCAGACTGTAGCCATGTAAGCAGACATTTTCAATCGGTGAACCTATTAAAAATAAGCTGACTTCACTTTTCCCCCACTTCCCAACGGAATAGCTAGCAGTTCTAGCAACTCACACACTGATTTGTCTCTGAAGCACAGACTGCATTGCTGACAGACACATTGATGTCCCCATGGCATTGACACAGCAGGTTCAGACTTTGAGGATATTGCATCTACTTTTTAAAGCACAAGACAAAGATTTCTAAGAGTAGATAGACAGAGGTTATTGATGTACTTCCCAGAAAATTCAGTGAAACAAAAAAGCAGCCCAAGTCGTAGAATTTTTTGGTTTCATGTGAAAAGGCAGATTTTATCAGATGTCACCCTGGGTCCAAAGATGTTCAGAACTGCACTGCTAACAGAAGTCAACACTTTTTTTTTATATAAATACCTTGTGCATTGTGTTATTCTCTTTGTGCATTTTTCAGACAGCAGCGAGCGCCTGGAGCCACCCCAGGCAGGCAGCAGCAGCCCAGGAGCAGCGCCGAGCGCCCCGCCAGCCAGGCAGCTTTGCTGATGACTTTCCCTTGCCCAATGCACACAGAACCCTGATCACACCAGTGTTCTCCTTCTGATCGACCCAGCTGCTTTAAAGGGAATAGTCCATGTATTTCTAGGACATTTTAAAAGGTAACGTGTATATTTTACCTTGCCTAAGCAAGCTTGTCCTGCACAGCTTCCCATGCTTTTACTCTTTAGAATCTGACACTGCAACTCATGAAAATGTCTTCACAGCATCCATTTTTATTTATCATCTGTTTATATGGTCATCAACTCTTGATCAAATTAGAAGCCAGTGTTCCTGGTCTCTTTACAACTAGATGTATCCATCTAGTACCTCATGCCCATATTTTAGATCCCTCATGTGCAAGCCTAATTCAGTTATTCAGGAAATTCCAATAAATTTTTCAATCTTAAATTACAATAAGGTACTCTGTATTTATTAGAGGGGACACGTGGAACAGGGAGGATGAACAGCTTCAAAGAGAAAAATCATTAAAGGCCAATCAGTAGCAATTTCAGTGATAAAGTGACTGGATCTTATTTATTTTCCCATTAAACCTCACTTGTTTTGATAAAAATAAATGCTTAGCTCTCCTGTACCATTTCTTTCAACTTGAGGCATCTGTTCAATATTTGGCCTCTGAGCTGTTTAAGTTTGGGTATAATGCAATACTGTGATACCTTATCTTTATTCCTCAGCAGAGAGAAAACTCCACAGAATTCATAACTGCTCTTTTCACATAAGGCAGTTATCATGACATTACAACATATTTATGCCAGACTTAGAGGTGTTGGCATTTTGATGCGACACAACAACATCCCCAGGAAAACTTAAAAAAGAGAAAATAAAAAGAGATAAACCAAAACCACAATACAGATTCCAAGCAGCCTTGGAATTAATAATCAGAATTTCTTCACATTTGAGATCTTATTCCCAAGTGTAATTCCACATTTCAGCATACAGCAAAATATTTATACTTAAGGTCAGACTGTTGGCCTTACAACAGATGACTCACAAGCAAGATAATGAAGAGTCTATGCTTTGCTGTCAGTAATATTAAAAGATTCTCCTCTCTGGAATCCACCCCATCTTCTCCAGTACTTCAAGGCAGTATGAATACACAGATGTCTGTGCCTATGTAAATGAAAACACAAACACATACACAGGCAGCTCTTCCACAATCAAAATGCAACTAATACATTAAGAAAAGCGAGTGGATAATGTATAAACATCAGAGCAAAACAAAAGTGACACTCTAAAATGATAAATTCTTTCAAATTGAGTTTCTTGTATTGTTCTTGGCAATTCCTTTCAAGTCCAAATTTAACTAGATTGCAAAGACATGCTGGAATGGTTTATAAAGGATATTTTGTCTAGAGCATTAGATTAGTAAAGATTATGAGACTATTTTCCAGGTTTGCATCTGAACTTCTTAATTTTATCTGTCATCATGTTTTAATTGATACAGCTACCAGTTTTCACAGAAATTAACAAGGAGTGCAACAGTGCACCTCTTGGCAACAGACGTGACCTTGCAGTGCAAGGCATGCTTCAGAGACAGCTCCTTAACATGACAAATCTTATTTTAAGGAATTTCTTATTTCTGTTTTGTTTCAGCAGCACAGAAAGGATGCACATTTGACATTTATAGAAAATCTTTAACATAATTAAAAAAACCCTTTATTAATAAATTTAACAATTTTTTTCCTTTATTTAAACTTGTAGAATACATGATACATTCCAAATATGCAGCCAAGGAAATGATTGAAAAAGACTACTAGAAATAAAAAATGCAAGTCTGTAATAGCCAAGTATTTTCTCGGAAATACTGTAGACAGATTGTGATAGGGATCTCAGCAATTACTGTGTTATAAAATGTAACATTTCAAGAAATAAAATCCTCAAAAAACTGAAGTATGGTTCTCAGAAAACCACCACTTTCAAATATTCATATTCTAGACTTTGTATAAATCTACATTAATATGTTAAACAAACAAGCCTTAAAATTAAGTGAACACAGAAATGGAAATGCTGGCAGGAAGTGTCTGCCTGTGGCTTGCAGCCATTTAATTATGTTAGCTTGCTGTGCAACAGCATGCAAGTTCCTGAAGGCAACCAATCTTTTAAATAATACAATGTTCTTAACTCTCATAGAAAGCAAAATAAAAGAGACACTATCTGATATATTCTTTCTGAGAACACCACGATTGCAAATAGATGAGTAACATGGAAAAGGAATGAACCTCTTCCCCACGTTCAGTTGTTTCCAGGAGCAAACAAGGACTCCCTTGAAGTAGACACACAGTATTTACATTGGTATCTGAACAGAAGCAGCACTTCTGAGCTTCCCATTTCAAGTTACAATACAGGTGCTTTGTCTGTTGGCCATTTGCTCATTTAAATTAGTCACTTGAGATGAAGTACAGTGTAAAAGTAAAATGACACAACTGAGAGTGTAACTAGACCTTGATTAATAATATTCAAAATGTAATCACCAGCTATACATTGACCCTTACTTTGCTTCAGGAAAAAGTTGCTAAAAGCTGTTCTAGTGTCTCTTAAAATATGAACAGATTTCACTGCAAGCATGAGTTCCAACTCAACAATATAAAAGCTGCATATACAATGAAATTACTCCATTTGAATTAATTACCTGTATAAGAAACTTAAAACTCCATTCTTCCAAATCACATATTACACACTAATGAATATTGAAATATTATTAACTTTTTTGGCCAACAGTATTTGGATTTTGGCTATTTTTTTTCTTTATGATACACACTTCTTTACTTTGCATATCATATGCTTGTAAAGCAAGGGTTTATTTTCTAGATTTGACTTACTTCCTTCACAGATAAACAGTGGTATTTAAAACCAGAAGTGAATTCTCGAAACTCAGAACTATGGCAGAGTCATGTGGGAAAAAAAAATGCATTAATCTATTCACCTGTGCAGTAGCAGCCTCTGACAATTGCTCTGAGAAAGCCATTAGTGCAGAGGACATTTTCCCACAGCTCTGGAAACACTTACTTCAGAGACAGCAGCAAGGCTGAGAAAATGGCTCACTTACAGATAAATTCTAATGAAAAAAAAAATTGATTCCCCTGTAAAATATCTGCTTTTTAAGCTTCAGAAAATTGTACTGAACTTCTCAGATCACTTATCTACCCAGTACTTAAACAAATTGTTAACACAAACTACAGAATATGTTGAATAGTTAATTTCCAGAGTTCACCTTTATTAAAAACAAGGTTTTTGTTGTGAGAACAAATAATCTCTCAGTCGTAGCTTGAAAGCCTAAGATGGGATCATTGGCTTCCAGGGTTGCCACTAGCTGCTTAGCAACCTGTCCTACTTGTCTTCCTTCCTTCCTGTTGTAGAGAACTGTGGACAGAGGGGCCGGCTGGCGATAGATGAAAACTCGTCGCAAGCACTCACAGAGAGCAGCAAAGGAGTAATCTGGAGCACAAGCCATGAACTTCTTGTCTTGCTTTGATGCTTGGACGTAGCCTGCAGAGCCCAAAGAGAAGCAGAAGGGATAATTAATATACTGGTTTCAACACCACTGCGCTATGAGAAAATCAAGCTCAGCTTAAAAAACAATATGCAATTACTACCAAAAAAAAAACCAAAACCAAGGTTATTACATAAGACAATAATTTTTGGAGGTATGCACTCACCCATTTAATACCAATACACAAATCTTCTGTATGTCTTCCTGAGTGGCTTTTGGATGCATGTGTATGTACAGCTAGATACTGTTCCCACATTTAGCCCCTCTCTGCCTCACAAAGTCTTCCATTTCCTCAGGAGGATCATAAGGCACGAATACACATCTTGGCCCAATATTAGTAGTCTAAGCAAAAAAATCCTCTCCCCTCATCTCCCAGTTTTTCATTACATTTACAATTTAAGATTTCTAAGCCTAGCTCGTCTTCAACAAACACTTAAAAATCATCTTCTATTTAAAACAGTCTGAAAAGAATCATGTTACTTTTCAACACACTGTAATCATTTTAATATTCAATGAGAAGGAAAAACCTTCCTTTTCCTCTTCCATCACAGAATTCAGTTGTTCACAGACCTATTTCAGACTGATTTCTTTTCACATTTTCAAAAAGAGACTCGAGACACAATCTTTGCAAAGTACCTACCATCTTTCTGAAAGGTTATTTGCTGCACTTCCACTGAACAATGCATGGCAATGGTTATTACTAAGACAGCACCTCTGAGAACAGCAAGCACAATAGGATTGACTTTTTTTGGCTCTCCCTCTTTCATTTATTACCACTAATAAATGGGTAGAGGTCACTGGGTAGAGGTCAAAGTACTTGTACTGGGGCTGGCTGGGATGGAGATAATTTCCTTCAAAGCAGACCCTAAAGTGTTGTGTTTTGAATTTGTGACTACAACAATGTTAATACAACATGATTTTTTTTTTTTTTTGGCTACTGCTGAGCAGCACTTGCATATTGTCATGGCTTTCTACTTTTCCAGCTCTGCCCACCCCTGCAATAGGTTGGGGATGCACAAGAAGCTGGGAGGGGACCCAACCATGACAGCTGACCCAAACTGACCAAACAGCTCAACCTACGAGCTTTCCTGCTTTTGCTCCCCCAGTTCTCTCCTGTCTCAGTAGGTTGTGGGATTTTTGTTTGTTTGGTTTGGTTTTTTTAATGTTTAAATGCTTTCTTTCAATAGAAATTTGTTAGGACAGATATACAGAACAAAGAACTTGGTCCCTCCAGTTTCCCTTTGGTTTCTTCCTTAGGTTTCAGTCCAAGAATTGAACCGGAAAATATTAATTTTTCAATCACCATCCTTATATAGCTTGTTAAAAAGTAATTCCAAAAGTTCAAGCAGAGGAAGAAGGAAATTGGGCTAATACCATTGCTTTGGTCACTATAATATATACTGTAAGTTTTGGAAAATTAGATATTGAATCTAGAAGATACTAATTTTTACTGCTAGCTCTTGCAAAGTACTTCTAAATTGGGTTGTATATAAACAAGCTGATGACTTACATCAACTCTGGCACATAAAAAATGAACTAGATTTGTACAAGATGTGTGAACTTCAATACAAAACTGTAAAATGACAGTAGAATAAGGAGAAAGAAGAGGAACAACATTGGTTTTTAAGACCTTAGTTACAAAAAGCTCAAAGATATCATAATTTCCTTCCTGCTATTTTCCAAATAATAGAAACACATTCATAAAACAGTAATACAAAGTCAGCATAGAAGCTTGAAACTAATACTAATTTGAAAAAACATTTTAATTCTTACCATCCACTTTTTTTTCCCCAGCATAAAGTAATTTGAAATGAGTAAACAGAGAACAAAGCCTGAAATTAATCTCTTTTGTTAGAGGATTTGTTAAGATGCTCACAGCTTAATTTGATATTAAGTTAAAATAACAGAAGATCACTCATATTACATAACTAAATAAATTGAAAAAAAAAACAGAACAAAACCAATTATGTGTTATGGTAACCTATGTGAGCTCTATAAACCAGCTAATATCTTCCCTTTCATCTTGGACCCAGACTGAGAGTGGTGTGGGCAAACAAAGGCATCTGCAGCACAGGGGGAATAAACTGTCCCACTCACTGCACCATTCAAGGAACGGGTCCAGAGAAGGCTCAGAGAATGTGAAGGCTGCAGCTGCCACAGCAGAAGGAAATTCTGGACCAGACTGATTTTAAAGAAAGCAAATTTATCTGTTTCTTACTTGAAAGGTACAACACTGGCCTACGTGGACCATCCCGTTTGATGGGATAAGGTAACTCTTATTCTTGCATCCATATTTTTAAAGTACTTTTTGCTTCTCAGTTTGTGGATCCTTCTTCTAACATGGTTAATAAACAAAGTTTTAGTCCTGATTCCATGAACTGAGCAGTAACGAACGATCCTTCACAACCACATTTTCTGCTTTTCTGTCAGTCTGTAATTTTAGAAGAGTTAGAATCCTCTTGAGCTAGAACTGCCACAGGTATGCACTTTATTAACTTTTCCTTTCATGATTTTTTTATTTTTTTTTTTTATTTCATTACAGGTTTCCCAGTCCACAAAGCTTTGCAGCAGAGGGTTCCATAGCTTAAATGGATACAGGAGAAGTATTTCTTTTAGCTTCTTTTGAACATACTATGTACCAGAATCATTTGATGAACCTAGGTCTTACACCAGAAGAAGCAGTAATCATGTTCAATGCTCCAGACTTGCCACCTGACATGAGATAGGAAAAAATCTAAAGGTCACCTACTTAAACATTTTACCATAAGCGTATATAGACCTATGACTAGGCCATATATAGACCAATGAACTGCAGCTGTTTCCCTGACGATTTCTGTGTGGTGTTGGGGTGGTGATTGTGCCTTTAAGTCTGTAACTGAAGTTTACTTATCTAAGGAACTCTCCTTTTTACTGTGCAGTACTGTGCTTGCATCCTATTATGGGCTGAAAAGGCTTGTTTGCCTCCCAAAGAGTAAACATCTTATTACTTATGTTCTAATAATTAAGCCCTCATGCTGTTATCATCAGAATGATAGTATCTTTCCATTTCAATTTAATTAAACAAAGTAGCAACAGAAGCAGTACTAAGAGTATTCAGGTAGAAAAGTCTGAGATAGAGTGTGACACACAAGTTGGTTTTGTACCTAAAGCATTAAAAGTTGCAATGTGTTCCCACATGTTCTCTGGTTGGTCAGGGTGAGGCTGCCAGAGAAGAGCATCAACATCGTGCCTCAGGCAAAAGCATGGCATTTCTTTGGGATCCCCAACAACTGAGAAGAGATACTGGTTGCTTCCAAGATGAATCTGAAAATGAAACAAAGAAATACAAAATATTGATTCAAAGCACAAACAGCAGATTCTGTCACACATGTTGCCAAAGTCAGACAATTAACAGCTTTATGTTAGCTGACAAAATGTTTCAATGCATTATGCTGCATCCCACTGAGCGGCAGCTCAATACACTACAGGCAGCTAATACATCCCAAGCAGATGCAATTAAGTTTCTTGACACAGGGAAACATTATGTCCACTCCACAAGCAAAAGGGAACGTTTCACCTAGAAATAGTACTCTAGGATATAAGAGCTTAACCTACAACTTGTAATGTTAGGAAAAGTATCTCTCTAAGTATTCACATCTGGTTTTCTGTAGTGCCAACAGGGAAGGAAATACTGTCCCTCTGCAATAGAAGTTGGTAAGCACTGGAACAAGGATTAGTAAGAACACTAAAATTATGAATTGAATACAATTTCTTATTTACTCACAATCAAATAAGTACTCATTATCAGAGTAGCACACTTCATCAACTATGTCCAGGCCACCAAAAACATTCAATACTACTTCTATTCACCAGGAATGACCGATTACATAAGAAAAGACAGACATATCCTGCCACCTGGATAAATGCTAGGAAGACTAAACAATAAAACAACACATATTTTGAGTTTTCTAGGTAAAGCCTTCTAAAAGAAGTTAATCGCAATATATTTAATGTAGCACTATGACCAGCAAATCCTCAAGGAGGAAAGAACAATCTGTTCCCTTAAAGTCTATCAAGGAAGAAGACTCAGGAATTCCTGTTTGTACTCAGAGCTGATCTACATCATTCATGTTACCAGATGAACAAATATATTTGAACTACTTTTTATATCCTCGATATCCTTCTTGTGGTAAGTAGCCCAAAACTGAACACAGTATTTGAGATGAGGCCTCACCAGTGCTGAGTACAGGGGAATAATCACTTTGAATATCCTCCTGGTCACACTATTTCTGATGCAGGCCAGGATGTTGTTAGCTTGCAAGCAGCTTTGAAGTCACCAGCAATCACCATTTCCAGCCAAAGGTACATAAGTATAAATTAAATTACTTACATAAGACAAGAAGTAAGCCTTATAGTACACAGCACTGACTAACCTGTAAACATCTGACATCCAAGTACCATGAAGTGATCTGTGCTCCAGCTCCTTAGTAAAAAGGGTCAACTTTCTACCAGTGTAACTGAAGTTACTCAGAAAAACACAAGTTAAGAAATGTAGAAGAATTCTACACCACTGAAAAAAGACTCCTTTCTTATAATAATTTTGACATAATTTTTCTTTTTCAAATGGCTCACTTGTGAATGTATATATGTATATACACACACTATAAATTAGAATAAAAGGAGCCTTGTTTTTAAATAACATTGAAGAATACATACTAACTGATAATTTTCTGTTGTTACTGGGATTTTACACCATGGCAGAATTTTATATGATTTCAAGAGTTTGCACAGATTTTTGTTCTGATAATAGAATTGAAGTTTCATATCACAAAAAATGTTTTATAATATTTCTGTAATAATTTGCAGCACTTACTATATGAGTGACTTTCAAGGTGTCACCATCAAATCTGCACAAGCTTGCACTATCTTCAAGAAAAGCATCACATTCTTCTAATTCTTGAGCATTACAAGGTGGTTTTTCCTTTTCAGGGTTTGGATTCTGAAATAAAAAGACAACAACCTACACTGAAAATCTGAGGTACTAAATATATATGTATATGTGTATATATATAAAAGCAAATCCTTCTATAACAAAAGAAGTTCAATTACAAGAAGAATCATTTGCATATCCTTACATACTTAAAGATCAAGCTATTATATACTTATTCAAAAGTAACAGAAACATTTGTGTTGTGGAGGACAGCACGAGAAGCAGGTACAACAGCCATTTCAGTTTAAGGAAAGGCATATATGCCACTAAAACATGGACAATAAATCCCCCTCTGTAAGCAGGATGAGTACACAATCCTGAAAACCTACACAGGTTTAGTAAATTTATGTCAGTGTAAGCTTCTTTCAGATTGCCATTGGAAATGGTATTAAAAATAGATTAATTTTGTAAGTAGCTCCAAATACATATCTCCTTTGTGCTTTGCTAAGAATTTAAACAAAAATAATGTTGTTATGCATATTTTTCAATGCACTCAAAACCAGAAAAAAGCCCATGTATTTTTTCACATCCCACAAGTCAAAAAAAAAAAAAAAAAAAGGAAAAACTGTCACTTTTACTACTAATTTGAGAGCAAGAGATAACAGTGTTGCATACAGAAACAGCTAATTTCTGCTAATGACATCTTTCTTGGGTAACTTTCCAAACAACCAAGCCATGTTACCTTTGTGATATATTTAAAGAACAAATTTTGTGATAACAAAAAGGGACCTTTATTGAACAGAAAGCAAATATGCACATTTCCTCCGCAAGTATGAATTAATGTTGCTTCTAGAACAAAAAAGACACCACCTTAACAACTACTGTAAGCTGAAACTTGAGGCCAAACAAAGTGTAAGGAAAGATTAGACAGGGCACTGACTCAAATGAGTTCTTGAGTTCCTGTACCCGTTCCTTCATCCATTTCAGCTGACTATTAAAACTTTTATTTTGGTCCAGGCCGTAAAGCGAAGGAGATGAGCACAAGTATTTTTTTAAAAGCTAGGGCAGTTTTTAAGTTCAAAGAAGAGATAACAGAGAAACATGAAAAATTGACAGAGAAATGTCCTTAAATGACAGAAACTAGTGAAATTAAGTGCCATGTACTACAGGCTAATGCACAAGACAACAGAGGGTATCTGTCTCCTTAGAGGCTAGACTCTGGGGTTCACCTCTCCTCTGTCAAGCACTGGTGGCCTATGGTTTACTGTTTCATTAGGCAGCTTTTGAAAAAACACTTCCAGGTAAATATTATTACCATATGCAATTGAAATGACCCAAAAGAATTCATATCTTTATTATATATACATAGCTAAAGTTGCAGTATAACTAAATATGTAACATTTATTTAAATGAACAGTTACTTAAGGAAAGACTTTTTTTTACATTATCATTATCACACACAAGCCAAAAAGCTGTAGCATTCCCCCCATACCCCCCCAAAAAATTCATCACTTTAAACTCAGTACGAGTTATAAAAGAGAAGAAATTTGAAGCTCCCAATAAACCTACAGTCAAAAGATATACTACAATATCTTGCCCACAAATAATGAGGGAGAGAAGACAGAAATCAATTTAGAGCACTAAACAGTTTATTTTAATAACACTTTTCAGCCTTATTAAAAAAAGTAATAATCCCAAACTAATATATTAAAGACCCACAGGGAGTCACACTTCACAAGTTTTAGATGAGATGCCATTTTCTAATTAAACCAAAAGAGGAAGTATCAAACAAGCAGTAGTTAAAAATTACATTTTATTTTACATAGACTTCCTTGTCTAACAATAATGCCAGAAAGTTCATGAGTCATGCCTGTGTTTTCCTAAATTTTCCTTTTAAAAATATCACTTACACTCATAGCCTGTAAGTCAAGTGCAGTATCCTTAGAAGGACAGTATAAAAGTGCTGTTAACCTACTGATAAAAAAGAAACAGACATCCTTCAAAATTACTTAAATCAACTGCTTTAAATCAAATTGCCACATTTCAAGTGGTGGGAACAAAATTTATTTTCCCTGTTAAGTCAGACTTCTGTTTTGGTGCACAGACACTGTCTAAGCTACATTCAGCCCCCCATGAAGATGATATTACTGTTCAATTATATTCACAAACCTAGTGCCATTAGTTTGTAACAGTTTTGGTTAAAATTTAACACAGAGTTAGGATTCTGAATAGTAAGTGAACTGATGAGCTCTGTCAATGAAGTGTGAATTAGGATATCAAGAAAAGACAACATGCAAATGTACAAGAATTTTCAATGTTTTGTTTTCATCTCCTTACCATTACTTCAGAGGTAAGATGCATTAGGCTGTCAGATATTTCAGAGCGCTGGGAAGAGTCCATAATGAATTCCCCTCTTGTGTCACCAAGTATTAGCTCTGGCCACTGGGATCCCTCGTTTTTCTTAATTAGAGAAATCTCCAAACTAATATGCAAATAAAAGACACAGAGTAGTACATGAAAACACTGTAGCCATTTCTCAGATTAATCAAAAAACTCTAAATGTAGATCTGAGCACTACTGCTCTCCAAACTGAATTAATAATGAAAATCACATAATAGAAACCATTAGCATTCAATTTATAAAATAAACTATTGTAATGGGAAATATTCTAAAGAAAAACAGGCCAAGGGGATGCGATTCCTAAAAGCCTAAATGCAAAGAGAATGTATTCATGTAGGTGTCCTCAGAGTTCTCGGTGTAAATGCAGTGTCCCCTGAAGCAGTCATTAAAATATTTTAAATGCTGTGGGTCACCTGTAAAGAAGTCTATTCAAAGCATGACAGAATTTCACTACAGAGTTTTCTTTGAAACATGAGAACTTAACAGGGCTACTCAAGTGTACACTACCTCTATATAAAATCTAGGATGAAAATATTTGTATTTTATACACCTCAGATACACTACAACAGTTAATTATCTACATTTTGTATCTAGAATCATATAGCAGAAGAGATATTCTTTCAGTAACCTTAAAAAATTAAATGTAAGAGAACATGATATAACCATTATGAATAACTGAATAAAGAGAAAACAACAGACATAGCCCGACACACCAACACAGCAATTCCATTTCAATACTGTGTTAGACCAACTCATGGATTTAATGATAAAATCAGAGTTAGTTTTATAATATTCACTTTCTAGATACACTCAGAAGGTCTACAATGACAGTCTTTTATCTGACCGAACAGGAAAACCTTCTAAGTTACTAACTACTGCACCACAGTAATAACTATTTGGTAAACTCTGAGTAAGTTTCTGAAGCAATTACCTTGTTATTAGAAATAACATATTTTTACAGATCTAGACTTTTAATCAACAGATTTAAAGTGGTAGTGGAGTACTAACACCAACAATAGAGTGCAACTTATTACACTAAAATGTATAATTACTATTTTCCATTAAAATAGAAGCCTGAGATTCATGCAATATTCTTACTTGATTGATAAAGAAAATGAGTTACTCATATGAATTATTTTTCACTATGATAATTAACAGCTAAAGTCACATTTTAGTATATAATATTATCTATATACAAATATTAGTCTCTCCATTTAGTTCTTTTGGAAAGTAACTATCTTTAGAGTTAAACTTTTGGGAAAAAGCTCAGATTTTTTTTACAAGAGAAACCAAAGGAAAAACACAGAATCATAGAATAATCTCAAGTTGGAAGGGACCATAATGATCATTGAGTCCAACTTCCTCCTCCTCACAGGCCTGCCTAAAAACTAAACCACATGGCTACAAAAAGAAATGGAAAAAAAAATATAACTGGATGTCTTGCAGAGAATGTCCTGATAGCTTTATTATAACCAAATCTCACAAGGTATATGCACCTGTATACTTCACACAGAAGTTCAAACAAAGCATTAAGGAAGAATATTGACATCAAGCTTGTCCAAGCACCCAGAAGACAGTATTAGCTCTACTGTATCTTTTTTCACTTTGTATTTTTTTAGTACTGTATTAGTTGTAATTTAAAACTGTAATGGCTTTTTTCCCCTGTTTTCTACTTGAAACTCGAGACTTCATGGCATCAGAATGCTATGGCTAATATAAAGTCTATTTTTCCCTGAGTCTTCTCAAAATCTCTCCTTAAATGGTCATATTTTCCACAACATTATGGTTAGGAACATTACTGTGCCATTGAAATGAACCTGTACTCTCCCCACTTACTGCATGCTGGTTCAGGGTTATAGGATTAGAGTTTGTGTACCTCAGAATCTCTCAGAGGAAACTAAATTGGAAACTCTGTGGGCAACTCTGTGGACAGAGTCTCACAGAACAGGTATTAGATACTGAAAATAAAGGGGATCAATAAAACCATCTGCCCTGCTCTAAGGCTCTTTCTGGTAAAAAATGAAGTGCCATTTCCCTATTGCATAATTACCTTTATTACAATATATTGCATTCAGAATAACTAAACTGTAAGAACAGTAATAAATCTACAGCAAAAAAGGGAAAAAAAGAAGCACTGATTATAAAACAAAGTTAAGACAGACTGGTACTATAAAATAAAGAGACCGAGCAGAGAACACCAGCAGACATTTCACACCGCCTCAGAAATGGGCACAACTAATGCGCTCCAGCTGGTCCTGCCCCACGACCAGGAGGGATACTGTTAGGAGCTTTAAGGCAGAGTTTTTCTTAATCAAAGATATTCTTGATCCTCAAATCTAATAAATAGATTTAAGCGTTTTTGTTGCACTCAAGTGCTGGCTTTGGCTGGGATAGAGTTAATTTTCCTCACAGCAGCTGGTGTGGTACTATGTTTTGGATTTGGTTTTGATTTGGATATGGGAAGCACAATGGTATTGTGACTAAACCATGTATTGCAATAGCTGTATTTTGCTAACTGTAATTTACACTTCTGCTGAGTTTTCAGTGTGCTTTGTATCACTCTGCTAAAGCAGAAATCCCATGTAACATGTTCTTCAAATAAGTAAATTTGATCATTACACCCTCCATGCTTGGAGTATCTAAACACTCTGACAGTTGCAATACAACAGCAGCAGCTGAAAAACAAAAATGTTATTTTGGTTGACACGAACAAATCAGTACCAATACCTCCTATATCCAAACATCTTTTATATGTTAACAGAAGTACCAGAGGTAGCCAGTTAAAAAGAGACTTAACTTTCCATCCTGTAGCCTACTACTGCAAATATGGCCACTAAAAAGTTTATGAAAAAACAACCTAACCTCACAAATTTAGTACTGTAACAGTGAAACCCAACTGATTTAAACTTATTCTTATTTAAATATGGGCACTTCTACTACTCTGTACTCCTTTTGTGACCATGTACTAATTATAATAGCTGTGATATTAACTAAGCCTACAATAACTACCAACTCTATAGATGGACAGCACTGGTTAGAATACATTACCTGTATTGAAGAAATATTTGGGTGCATAAATTCACAGATATTAAGAGGAGAATAGCTGAAGAACCTGGACAACTCTGTCTTGCAGTAAGACTGTGCATATCAATATGATAGCTGAGGACTTGCTCACAAATCCCTACCTGAACATATAAGAGACTAATATGAGACTTCTAAATAATGAAACACAGCCCCAGGTTAAATGAACAATGCACTGAGTTACAGACCATAAAATACATGAACTTTTCAAAATTCAGAAATATGATCATAAATCTCTTAAGAGCAGAAAACGATTAGTCTGTTCCAGGCTTTCAGACAAACCTCCCTCAGGCTGACAAACGGAAACCCAGCAGTAGAATTGACCAGAGAAGCTATAAAAATTCCAAGGTACATTCATAGGTAACATGGGCTTAGAGTACAAAGAACAAGACCACAAAAGCGTAGATCAACTACTTGTTGATACTTGTTGTTTGCATCCACCAAAACCCCTAAAGCAATGACTGACCATGTCATTAAGATTAGTTTAGTCACTAAGATCTGAAGGGCCCTCCAGAGGCTCTATCAATGATACCGAGTCTAGGTAGAAAGCAAAATTAGATATCCAAAATCAGGTTTCAATTCCCCACCAGAGAACTAAAATTCTAGAATTAAAAGGTTTTGAAACATAAAAAAAGGTAAATTTTACTACAGTTTTCAGATCTCTGAATTCTTTTTTACTTCTCCTCTTCATTCTTTCATATCTTTATTTCAGAAAGAGACAACTAAAATTTACCTCTCAAATAAAGCCGTGAGCATTTCTATTTGAGGTCTACAGCATATTAAGTATACACACAGTAATTTTATATCATGTACATAATGTACAATGGATTAGGAAAATGTAAGGAATTTTTAAGTCAAGCCTGACTAATTTCTGTTACATTATTACCAAAAAGCTTCTGTTTGTGGAAAGTCGAAGAGAAATTCTTAACACAAACAACAGGGCAAATCCAGGCCTATACAAAAAAAAAATTGTTGAACCAATTAAGTTTACTTTGTTTACAAAGCTATGTTTAACATTTTGATATCCGGGTTGGTTTCTTTTTATTATCATTTTCATTTGCTTGGTTGTTTTTTTTTTGGTTGTGGTGTTTTGTTTTTTTTTTTTTTTTGGTTGGTTGGTTGGTTTTTTTCCTGGCTATTTGGAAAAAAAAAGTTTTTATTACTTCAAAATATTAATTAATTTACTTACTGAATTTTGACCAAAGTTTCATAACTATATGATACACTTTCTGAAAATCACAGAACAGTTTACCTATTCAATTTTCCTCTGTGATCCACTAGAATTGAATGGGCAAGACTATTCTCAAGGAGAACTAAAAAAACCAGGTAGCCATACAGACAGGTAATGATACAGACACCCATGGGTTAGTCTCCAGTAGCTCATATCACCAAACACTGTTTTACAAAGACAACTGACACCATTAGAACAGGACATTAACCTGTCTACCAATAAACACAGGCAAAGCCTGTGAAAACAGTTTGAGGAGATTAACCTTATGAGCACCAAGGCATCTCTAATGTTGCTAAGAACTCTAGTTCACAGCTCAGTAGTGGAAATTCAATTTCCTGGTCTGATACAGGTACAGCTGTCAGCGCAGTTATGCACAATGCCTTTTTTTTTCAGAAATAAAAGAATTTATTATTTTGGAAAGGCTGTTCTATGTTGTTGTGGAAAATAACTGGTCATGTAGCTTATAAGCAAATAATTGTAGAAGGAAGGGATTACTTTCACAACTAGCAAAAGAAACAAAATTGTAAGACAGCATTGCACAAGCCAGTGAATCATTTTCAGCAGAGAAGATAATATTCTTGTAAGGAAGGATGCAGGGTGTAGTATTAGATAAGACCATTCTCAGAAAGGCCAGAAGTCAGAGATATGGTAGACACTTTGAAATCAATTCCTGTCAATAGGAAAGCTAAAATTAATATACAACACCTTTTGTTATCTCTAATTATCCATGTGCAGCTTTCATGGTCCACAGATGAATAGAGTGTTCCTTCCATCAAAGGCGGCTGGTCTTTCAGCCTAACACATATGTTATCAGGGGAAAAGTGTACTTTTATGTCATCCTTAGTGATATCTTGAGGAATATGAACTGCTATGGTCACATCATCTTCAGTCTGCTGCCAGTAATACAGAGGGTCTGCAATTGGAAGCACGCAGAAAAACACAAACTAGATTACAAATGCTGTCCCAGATTCCACAGCATGCAGTGCTGGGAGACATGGAATAGAAGTGTGGGGAAGAGTAGAATTTAACTTTTACTTTGAACAATTCACATAAAATACATTCTGATTATAACATGGAGAAACCTTTTTTTTTAGCCATCAAGTTCGTGTCCCTCACCTGAACCGTTAATATTCATGCCTATACTCAAATATGATGATAGAGTTATACTCTAGGCATTAACTATTACTCTAAGTTTATTGATAACCAAAATGTATTTAAACACGCTGAAACATTAATGATAAAATGCTCAGAAATATATGCCATCCAAAGATGTGAACATTTTTTTCTTACCTATTTTGCTGAAGCTACACTGACGATTCAACAGAAATGATATTAGAGGACCAGGTAGTCTTAATTTGCTTCAGTTAATGGAGATGAAAAAAAAACTGCCTGTCCAGAAGTAATCACTGATTTGGTCCTGGGTCTAGAACCTGCCTGATGTCCATCTTGATTATTAAACTGGTACAAGAAGTGGTCTTTTAAGAGAAACTTTTATATAAAAGGTAGGCTATGACAGCACGAGTGGGTAGGGCACAGCTGGTCACAGAAAACACAATGCATAGCTCTGCATAGATGCACAGCTGCACTGCTATAAAAGATAGAGTTCAATTGCTAGCACATCTTGTTTCAGTATCTGATATCCATTATACCTGCCATTTTATATAACCATGTAACTAACATTACATCCTACCTCAGGTTTAGCAAAAGACAAATTCTCTCTTAAAGAGGCATTAGACTTCCCTCTAAACTAGGAGTTTGGATTTCAGTACTTTCTCTACCATTAGATTTTTCTGTCATACAGAGTTTTCTGTAGGTATTTCTGCAAACACACTCCACACATCACAGACTTCTGGGCTTGGGTAACATCATACATGTGCATGTATATGCCTGAGATGAGCTGTGCTTGGAGAGTACGTTCCTTTAATCACACCTAGCACACAACTCAGTTAGGGGTACAATGTCACAGTTACCAGTCTGTAACATTAATACAGTCTAGAATGTTACACTATTGACAAAGACTGTGCTAGTATCATTCGGTTAGAACTGGTTCACTAACTACTGCCTCATATTGAGAAGCAAAATGCACCTGAAATAATGCAGTATAACTACATAAATATCACTGAGCTCTGCAATATTTAAGATAAACAACTTTATTAATAAAGTTTTTAGATACCCAATTTTGTTTTAATTGTAAAGAAAGTAAAATTTTCTGATTAACTATTTTGGAGAGTCAGTGGGTGTCACACTGCCCTCTCTTACCTAGAAAGACTGGCTTCTTGAGTACTTCAGTCAGATGCCTAAATTTAGGTGCTACCTCAGCAAACAAACTGCTGGTAAATACTTCATGTAGTTGTTTGCAAAATATCGTTTTCCCCAGGACAGCAAAATTCTCTAAGTGTCACCTACCCAAAAAAGTTTCTGATACAGGCTTATGCACAATGCAGCTTTCCAGGGTGAAAATTAAAAAACAAACATAAAAAATTTATACTTAAAAAAAATAATAATCTGGAAGATAGATAAAGACAAAAATATATTGCTAGTTTCCAAACAGATGCTAAACTGACAAGCTATTTCGTACACTGAGAGAGCAGTCTATCATAATCAGATAAGATTTACCTGATTTATCCGATTTCATAAGATATGTTTTACCTCTCTTTTCATTTGTTGTTTCTGCATCATCATTTTCTTCTAATTTGTCATCTTCATCTTGCACAAATTTGAACGGTTTGTAGGAAACGATCATTAGCCCATCCCCACTCGGCTCTATTGCTGCATAATGAGGGACTGATTTTCCTTGTAAAACTCTCCTTTTAAAGATTTCATGTCTATGATCACCTATAAAATAAAAATATCTTCAAAACATTAGTGTTAATATTTTTCTAGAAGACAAATTATTATACCAGAATCTCATTACACTTAAAAGAATACAAAGCATTCCTACCAGTTAAATCACAGGACTGTAGTTTAAAAACAAAATTTCTTGTTTTCCAACGAGTTGGTTAAAATATGTAAACCCTGCAATTAATCCAACATTGCATTTTTTTTTTTGTGATGTCTTTGCTGATCACATCTAGCCCAGCAATTCACAAAACCACTCACAGTCCCTGTACAAACAAGTTTTCAAAATACTCTTTGAGCTGCTGTAAAAACTTGAGAAGCAATGAAAGCGCCAGTGGTAACACTTTATGCACTATGGAAAATGCCTATCTTTCTCAGCTTTTGTAAAACATTGTCCTTTGAAAGGGAGGTCCCAGATGTTAGCTCCTGCTGACAAGGACCATGCCATTCCCTGCTAAGTACTGTTGACTCAAAACACCAGTAAGGTATCGGGTTCTAGCACGTTTGTTCTTTTTCCATTAGAATCTTACTGCCCTCAGTAACTGATCAACTTCTGTACAGTAACAGATTGTACAAATGGAGTTTTAGCAAATAAAAACCAAACAACTTGATAAAAGGTGATAAAATTATCCCCAGGAACTGTTTAGTTTTTCACATTTATGCTTTATCAAAAGAAATCGCTGTACTTGTAACTACAGCTTTACTTGAAACAAACTGGGAGCTCATTAGCAGAGACAATAGACAAGACCAAATTATAGTGCTAAAAATAACCTGTGCCACTCCAGTGTTCCAAAAATGTGTTTCTGTTTGACCTCAGTGTTAAGCTTAGAGAAATACCAAAGCTGTAGGAGAACACAAATAATGGGTAAGCCAGGTATAATTTGAGTCCTCTCAGCTGATTACTTTTTTTGATAAGTAATAAGTGGAGTAAAGAATTTATGGCATTTAACGGTGTTAATTAAAGCCCTCCTTTTTTTCCTAAAATGCTTGATCTGGGTGTAG